ATCTTGTGGTCTCGACGGCATCCGACCAATAATTGTCCTCAAGACTTGCGCTCAAGTAGGTATTGGCTTCACTTCTTTGCAAACTGTTTTCAATTTGTTGAAGTCGAGGTGATTTCCCGTCTATCTGGAAATGTTCCAGAGTGCAGCCAATTCCGAAAAAGAGCAAGAAAACTCTTCCTAGCAATTATCGTCTCATCTCACTTATATCCGTACTTTGAAAAGTGATGAAAAAGGAAGTCAAGCTGAAATTGGTTGAATACCTCAAAGTCCATCTCTGACAAACAGTACGGGTTCCGATTTGCAGGCGTACGTCAGTCATATTTGGAATTCGACTCTCGAAAAATATGGCGAATCCAGAACTGTATAGCATTGGTGCAGCACAACGGTCTCCTCAGCAAACTTCCATCGTATCGTATGGTCTTACGAACGCATTTTGTCATTAGCTGTAGAACTTTTAGGCAGGTCACTGCATTTTGTGTTCGATGGTGGGTCTTCTGATAAACTGCAAATGCCGGCGTTCCCCAAGGCTCAAGTCTGTCCCCAACACTGTTTCTCATTTTTATAAATGATTTGTTAAATGTGATCAGGAACCCCATATTGCGGACGATAGTAGCTTGATGGCATCTTTCTCTTCTGACAAACCGCAAACTGCAGTCACTTCCACACGCCTTGCCCGAGAACAGATTCACTCTATCAACAGTGATCTTGACACCATTTCCAACTGAGTTCTTAACCACGTAGTCAAATTCAATGCTTCCAAAACTAAAGCAACAGTATTCTCAAACAAGAAATCTTCTGCCGATGAAAACCCAGTTTTAAAGACGTCCCGGACAAAACCTTTTTATCAATCCCTCAGTTCTTCTTGGGTTGACCGCAGCGACGAACTTGTCTTGGCATGTCCATGTATCTCCGATCGCCAAAACCGCATCTCAAAAATTAGGTTTTTTGTTTCGTGCAAAATACTTCTTTACTTCTATACAACGATCTGGCCAGCCTGATTCCAATTAGGAGAAGTTATTCAAGAACCACAAGAACCTCACAGGCGTTCCATCCGTATGTGGTCAAGTTGGCTACCCCGAGGACCTCTAAATATAGGCCTTCTCATTGATGGCGTACTGTCCACCTCTGGAACTCCCTACCTCCTACTTCAGTTCCTGAACGATTTAAGCTTAAAATGTTCAAACGAAGGGTTAATCGTCACTTAAGCTATTTTCAGGCTCAGCTATCACAAATTTCAATAATAAACTGTGCGAGTGTTTTGAACCGTTCTTTTTTCGAACCCGAAAATAGCTTTAATTTCTTCCTCTCATGGTACTCTAAAATATTATAGACTTAGTCTTTTGTGAGCAGACCAATAAAAAAAAAAAATTATGCAGATTTTAATAGCTATATTATGGATCTTTTAATGACCCTCCTAGCCCCGTTAGACCCGTTTACATTCATTCTAGCGTTTCTTTTGTTATTTCTCTTTGGTGAGGTAAAATTGGGTAAAATTTCTAATTGATTTAGATCGTCGTTCATCAATTTATCAGTTTCAGCAACAGCAGGTATTCTGACTCTTAATAGGCGTCTCTTGTGCAGACATAGACACAGTATATATTTTAAAAAAATAAATAAATAAAAAATATTGAAATTAATTATACCTACATTGAATTACGCCTAGAATCTAAGAGGTAATAAATGGAAATAACTAACTATTTCTCTATAAGTATGTAATTTGACAAAAAAAAGAAAAAAACGAATTAACCACCAAAGAAGTAAATCTTGTCGGAGGGAAACTAGTATTACTTGGGATAAATATGACAAATAAGTAATAACAAACAAATAATGGAGACAAAAAAGTCACAAAATTATTGCCTGCTAACATTTCAAAGTTAGTTGTCCTTTTCGACAGTTCCGTTCCAATCAGGGTTAGAATCACATCTGGGAGTTGAAGACAGAGTATAGTCGAGTTTTGTATTTATCATTCATTTGTTCATTATATTTTCATGATTGTCTGCCTCTCCTTCACTTTTGATATCATCTTCAATCTCTTTATTTCTTAATTCTTCCAAAGCATACTTTTTCCCACTCACAAATAAAGATTAAGTAGTCTTCTATTTCGACCGGTTTGTTATCATTTCTTGCAATTTGCAAGTATTTTCTTGGAAGTTTTTTTGGTATTTTTTTTTGGGGATAATCCACTGAGATGTACATGCCGCTTCTCGAGCGTGATAGGACATTTCCTTGCGAGTGCGCATATCCGTAAAAAAAAAAAAAAAAATGTATACCTACTTGCTGATTCTTAAGTTGTTTGCGTTTAATTATATTTTTTTTTTCTCAATTTCCGCTGGTTTTTCTTCAAGAGTTTTGTTCTCCTGCTTTAGTACTTCCTTGTCCAGCCTTATTTGGTGCAGCTCGCTCGACAGATCTTCTTTCACTGGGCTTATAATCTCACCCTTAACCCTTCGTTAGTGTTATGGGGTATATCATACCCCATCACGGCTATTTACAGCTGTAAAACTAAAATTGCAACAGCTACAGAGTCTAGCGTCTAGTTCATACATATGGTAATCGAACGCACCCACAGTAGCGTCTCTCTGAACCTTTAGTATGAAATCAGATTACTGCAAAGTGGGTTAGGGCATGGTATACCCCGGAACACTATATACGTAATTTTTTGTGTACGGCATTTTAAATGGTAGGTATACAGTAATAATGTAAATTTCTCAATTTTAGTGAAGTTGGTTTGATTCATGTTTTACAATATTTTTTAGATATTTGTCAAAAACAATTTTGAGTGTGGTACGGTTACTTGGTTTTGTATTAATTAATTCAAAATATAGTTGCTCTTCTTTTTCTGCAAGGCAGAATTGATGCTACATAATTTTTTTTTTAATATCAAAATAAAAACGGAGTTATCTATATTTTTTGTTTTACTGGACATCTGACTAATTAAAATATTATATTTAACCTTAAAAATGAGAAAATTTTAAAAAAAATCCGCATTTCAATCGAATTTCTTATTGGGGTATGATATACCCCAGAACACCTCTCGTATATTTTTTAGGTAACACTAACGAAGGGGTAATCTCCACTTTGGATAGCGCTGGATATTTTATTTCTTGATTTGATACAAGATACAACTAACCCTTTTATCCAATCATACAAATATTTTGTAATAACTTCTTTTCAGAAATTAAAATATTTAAAAAAATTATAATATCTATTGAATTATATCAATAGGTATTCCATCGGAATTTATGAACTTGTCTAAAAACTTGGGGTGTTTAGGGATAATGATTTTATGGATTTATCACATTTAGGGCCGGTTTAACCTTCTGATAAAGTGTCAGATAAAAACGCAAACTGTAATCCCATTGGCCAGCCAGTTGCCATCGCTGCCCGATAGAATTATAGAAGGGTAAATTTATCTTGCATATAAATATAGGCAAGTTAATCTGAAGATGAATAAATCGGGCCTTATTACATTATATTATTTACCGAAATAAATTATATGTACATACGTGCAGGGTCCAGTTATCCACACTGTCTATTTTTCCACATTTAAAAACACTTTATACTATAGTAAATTTCACTTTTGTTGAGGAGCGAAAACAATTTGGTGTGTATCTCCTAAGCTAACCATCGAATCATCGAACCTTGCTTTTTTTGCATTAAACATACTCATACAGGAATTTCTTTGAAATTCAGCAGTTTTCGGTCATAAATAATGCCGTACCAAATAAATAGTCGAGATTAGTTTTAAATGGATTATACATTTCCACATTAGTTTTTAAAGGTCTCTCGGATGACCTTCACTAGTTAAATTTATTTTAAATAAATTTTTAGAAAGTAGGTAAGCAAGCAATAGTTTTACTTTAATCCCAACAGTTTCAACAAAGTCAGAGCCCTGAAATTCTTTCTTAAAAATTGAACAGCAGTTGTTTGGATTAAAAATATGGAAAAAGGTCAGGGATAGATTCAAGAGTAATCCCTACGCAAGCCAAGTGATTCAGGAGATAAAGGCGATAAAGGCATATAATAAATTCAGTATTATTATTGGCTTGGTTTCTAGAATAGTCATCAATTTACCGGACAAAAATTAGCCAGATGATACGTAAGACGGCAGGGAGGTTATTTAAAAATATATTTTTCAAATCATACAAAAGTGTAAATGTTGCTTAAACACCTTCATCCGGTTGTTAAAGCATCGCTTTTCTCAATACTTGGAAATTCACTAAATAAAAACACCATTACTCCTTCGGAATAATGATTCAACTGTAATGAAATTAAAAAAATTGTCTCCAGCACTGGCAGGCGAAAAACTGAAGTGAACGTTTTATGCCTCAGATCGTAGGATAAACGTATACGCGTTATCAACGATAAAACGGATTTTGAAAGGGATATGCATGAGTACTTGCAAAATAACGCAACCAATCCATAGTTAGGAACTTCCACAGCTTCAGTTAGATCGTGTGGGTGAATATCAATTAAGATAGTCGTCATATTAGCATGCAAAACATGCAAACGTTTGAACAGCTTCAACCTTAAATAGTATATGATGATAATGAAGAAGCCTCTAATGTGAAACCAATGTTACTTTCTTATTAAATATTTTTATTCAGTTGTGTTTTATAGTTTTCTGCAATAGCAGCATTATCATTCCATGCTTCTAGAAATTCTTCTAGAATTTTTGTTTTCATAGGTACCTATTAACAATGTAGGGCTTCTTTGAAGGATCCATGTTAAATACATAATTACAAAATGAGTGTAAATATCCCTTAGGCTACAGTGTGGCAGCAGAGCAACACTGATACCGTCCCTGGTAAATTGTAGGTTCTATACTCAGGAAATACCTTTTATAAAGGACATTTCACCAAACTTAACACGAAAATATGTTAGATATAGATCTACAGTGAGTTAATGAACCTTTTTTTGTCAGGTTTAGTAGGGTGAAAATTGATTTTTTTTTCAACTAACCCAATGAATGTAATATTAATTTGAACATATTTTTGCAGGTCTCCAATCTCCTTGATGCCTAAATGAACAGAAGCCATACAAGTGCCATATCAATAGACATAATCCCGCAATTCAAGTGCAATACTGCTGAAAGTGACTCATATTACTGTGATATCAACTTGCCATATAGAAATTATTAGCAATGACAAGACGTAGCATTAAAAGTTCATCCAATCACTCGTCGCCGATTGGATGTGAAAATAGGATTATAGCATCACCACCACCTCAAACATCTCCCTCAGAAAGATCGCCGATGTCAATGGCATCACATTCGCCGCCTTTGCTTGCTACCATGACACCTGTCAATGTTGTGGATTTGAAAAAAGAAATGGAAGAGGAAAGTGCCATGGGGAGAAATCCCGCTTATAATGATGTGAAAACAGAAGTTTTGTATGAAAAAGAAGATGGGGAAATTTATGCTCAAAATGTTCAGGGGAAAAATAATGATACCGCCATAGATTTAATATACGAAGATGGTAACAAAACAATCATATATAGCACTACAGCGGATCAGAAAGGTTTAGAAATATACTCGGCTGAAAATTCTAGCGAGATTACTATTAACAACATCAGCGCTCATCAAATTCAAGCCGGACAACAAATTAGTGATGTTCTTATTGACGGAAATTCTGGAACAATGATAAATCCGAACCGCGAAACTGTCGGCAGTCCAGCTGGTACTGTGTCAGTAGTACTGCAAGGTAACGGACAAGGATTGCTTCAGTATCCTTCTCAAGCGCAAGTTCCAGGTACTACAGTTTTAGTTCTTTCTGAGTTGGTTGAAGACGTTGGAGTACCAGTAGTTGGATTAACCAGGTAATAACTTAAATTCATTAGGATAAGATTTAAAAGAATATATTTACACGTATGTAAGCCACTGTAAAGGGTATTTGATTACTTTGCAAAGACCGTTCAATGAAGCCGATTCTTTAATTTGTTCTTCCTTATTTATAATTCTCTGGTGAAAGTGAGATAATAAAAACCAAGATTGTAATGCATTTTTGATGCAGCAACAAGAAATGAACTTTTATTTCGTGTTTATTTTCTAATATACAGGGTGCCCACTTAGTGCGATATCAGACGATATCTCCTTACAGGATGATGCAATATTGACAGTTGAAAATTGACTTTTTGCAAATTTGACAGGCTGTAAAACCTAAACGGTTAATTTTAGACGAAAACCGATTTTACATTCCTATCTTAGATTTTTATAAACTATCATTTGACACCAACTTTGAATTTAATCCATGATTAAAAATTCCACTTAAATTTAATCTCCGGTTAAATTCAAAGTTGGTGTCAAATGATAGTTTATAAAAATGCAAGACAGGAATGTAAAATCGGTTTTCGTCTAAAATTAACCATTTAGGTTTTACAGCCTGTCAAAGTTGCAAAAAGTCAATTTTCTACTGTCAGTATTTCCGAAACAGTTGAACTTAGGTATAGGGTATATTACATAAAATCTGCTCAGAATTTTACGTAGAATCCAAATATGTAATCACATACAGGGTGTTCCATTTAAAATAACAAAGTTCTGTCGCATACCCCATAAACGGAGCACCCTGTATATTCAAAAATATTTTCAACTAATGCATATTAAAGTATCAAACAACTTTGTAATTTATATTTTTTCTTGCATCACCCTGTAAGGCTATATCGTCTGATATCGCACTAAGTGGACACCCTGTATACAGGGTGATTTACGTAGCCCGTGCATAAGCTTGCAGGTGGATTAGATGCTATATCTATTTATCCACCTGCAATCCAATTGAATCCTAATGCACGGGCTACGACAATCACGGTGTATACAGTAGAAAGACGCCAGGACCCCAGAAAACAAGCCTTTTCAAAGTTTTTAAGTGAACGTACCTACCTGGACATAGATTTTTTTATTTGTGCGAAAGTATTCATATAATTTTGGAATAATTCCGGTTCAATTTCATAATAAGATGTTTTGCTTTAGCTTATTGATCGTCTGATAGGAAATGTTTGTCGACTATGAGTTACGGACTCCGGGTCTTGATGGCATTCCTCGTTTTTTCGTAAGAGATAGTTAATTCGTGTTGTCCATGCCATTCCTGATTAAGATTTTGAAAATACATTTTCAATTCATTCAAACCAATTTCATTGGCTTAACACTTATGTTTTTCCAATGATAATTCGAACAACTTTCTATATTTCCTGATGCCTGGAATGTTGCAAAGGTCTGCGTTATCCTCAAAAAGAATGATCCATCAGTAATTGGGAATTAGGGTTTTCTCTCTCGCACTGTGTTTGCGAGGCACTTGATTGATTGGAACCAAGTCGATGTAGATCACACAGAATCTAGCAAGGCCTTTGACCAGATTGATTATGATAAGTTATAGAAAAAGACATTCAATCTGTTCTGTTTTTTGGGTGGCATCATTGAGCGCCTGAAGTCGTACTTTTTGCAGTTTGTTTGAGGAAGAGGGATCGAAACTGTTTTTCCCAACATCCACCACAAAGCTTCAAGTTCGCAATTATTCTATTGAAAGTTGACGATCTTATCCAATTTCTTGGACTTACTGTTTCTTCTTGCAAGTTGCGAACGACAGAATAAAAATATGCTGTCGGCGAGTAGAGCATTGCTCATACACTGACACATCCAATTATTTCCTTTCATGGAATACAAAATACAATAACATTGGATGATTTCATTGACGACTCGGTTCATTGACGACTCGGTCCTCATCATGGTTGGCTAATGTTAGGACCATGCTGTGGCGACTGAATCGAGTATGGCCTCATAACTAGAAATTGTAAGCAGTTTTCCAGCACTTCTATCATTAGGCTGCTCTAATATTCCTTTTCCGAATCACAGCTGAACCTTGATTACCTCTATATCCGTATCCACTGTAAGGTTGGCACATCAGTTCTGTGGAAGCTGCTCAAAGGGCGATTTTCTAAATATGTAATGCTCAAGGCCATGGGGGATCGTATCTACATTATCAGAGGCATTGAATCATGTCATTTCCCTCATCTGCAATTCAGGAAATAGCGAGTTCGAATATCCTATACAGGCTGTTAGAAATTCGTGAGTAAGTATGGGGATCGCGGTAACCATAAAGGATACAGGGTCGGTTAAATTGGAGCAAAGTAGTTACGCAATTTCTAGCTTACCAAAATGCCGTTTCGAAATTTGGAGAAAAAAAAAACGAAATTTTGCAAAATATTTTTTATTTTTTCCTGAGCTTATTTGAAGAGATACTCCAAAATAAATGAAACTTCATCGATGCCACTTTGTCTCCTCTACAATATGGTATTATCAAATTTCAAATCCGACGTTTCGTCTTTGGGTCATAATCATATTTTTTATTTTTTTTTTAATACGGCTAAATTGCGTAACTTTGCCCCAATTCAACCGACCGTGTATCTCTTATGGTTACCGAGATCCTCATATTTACTCGCGAATTTGTAACATCCTGTATATACCAAAGCCGGCATTCACATATTGTGCAGAAACTTCGATAGCATGTGTTCCGCCAAGACCTGTTATTGACTGACATGGACATTGAGTTTATTACAGACACGTCCTCCTGATGGTCCCTCACTTCTCGAAATGGTTACACCATTTGACCTGTAAGTTCGTACGATCTAAACACCTTTGTATTTTTTATTTGAGGTTTTGTTAAAGTCAAGCCCATGTAAATAATGCCAGATGAATCACATGAAAAACATTGTCAAGTTATCAATGCAATTAAACCGGAACTATGCCAAAGTTATATCAATAACATTGCAAAAAAAAAGATCCATTACAAAAACATCCAAGCTTTTAGAAAATATTATATTCGGAACATAAACCTAAACTTCATATATTCTGGTTTCCGTCTATTTATGTTGTGTGACAAAATAGCTTTTTAACGCGCATCCAATTTCCTCCAGTAAGGTAAGTATACAGCTTCTGTCAAAAAGGGAGTTACTTACTCTTCAAAAACTTTGTTTTCGAATGATGGATTCTGTTTCCATGTTTGCACCGATTAGCTGAAATCCGTTCTTTATTTTTGGTAATCTTTGTTATTTTTCCATTTTTCGAGAGACTACTGTAGGAAATTTACGGACTGGGTGACCAAAATATAAACGTAGTTATCGCCAAATAAAAAAATTGACTTTTGTTATTTTTAGTTCATGCCTACCTTTATACATAGCCATCAGTCTTTGTTAATATTTTTTATATAGGTATCTAATTAATTTTGGCTACGCCGTATGGCCATAACGCGGGCTGGAAGATTTGTCAAAAATAAAAAAAATATTAAAAAATACCTATGTAATAAATGAATTTTCCAGTTCAACAAAGAAATAAAAAATAGGGTAAGCTAAGAAATTTTCCAAAGAGAGAAATTTGAAGGTAAATAAATGCTTTCCAGTAGGTGAATATATAGGTGTCACAGAATTTCTCGAGACAGATATTTACTATAGGATACCACAAAATTATAAGACCCATGATAATTGATAAGTCCGAAATAGATTTCCCCAGATTCATAAATACATGTTATTTGAAACACTGAAAAGCATTAAGTTTCAAACAAATAAAAAACATCATAATTTTGAGTTGTTAAAACATTAATGAAGGCATTCTCGTAAACACAAATATCTTCATATTTATTGTATAAAATTTTACAGTCACAAAATACAATTTCATTAATAACATTTTAATAAGTTTTTAAATGGGTTTTTATAATCAAGGCCGGTAATTATAATTATGAGTTTTGCCCTTGAATTCATATTAATGTTATATTTTTGTAGTTTATTTCAAAAAATAAGAACATACATATTTTATTCCGATGACGATGGGTACTTCAAGTTCAAGATTATTAATTGCATATTTACAATGTACAGAATGAAGGTGTTTTGTTGTACACTTGGTTTAGAGTTTTATTAATTTTTCTGTATATTTTTAATATTGAAACACTTACTTTTTAAATAGCTTTTTTATTATAAACTTTATTCTCATGACAAGTCGTGTGTCTAACTGCCATTCTCTAAAAACCACCTTCTATTTCATGACATATATGACCTGTATGTCATGCCAAGTTAAATATAAATTAATAAATTAGTACAAATAACAAAACTAAAAACTAATAGTGTTGGGTAACAAACAACTTAAAAACTAATCATAGAACAGAAGGTATCTGAATCTTTTTTTTTTACATTGAGTATGGCGGTTGATTTTATGCTGTAACGAAATTGAAGAATGGTGGAATCTACAGTCAGTGTTTTCATTGTAGTCAATATTTTCCGAGCTTGTGGATCGTGATTTGGTTTGAAGGTGTCTTCTGTTCCTTGGCCGATTTATTCTCAGACTTAATCGTTTCATAAAAATGCTTTTGGTGAGGATAAAGGGTGGTCGAAAACAGTTGTCAATTTCTCCGATCGGCACTTTACGGAAAAAATTCGGCTCTTGTAAATTTTTCTATCACACCAGTTGAAAATATTTTGGTCTAAATACGAATAAGGACATTCTTATCTTACTAGCGGCAAATGCGATAGGCGCTCCAACACACAATGATATTGCAAAATATCAGACCCCATACCATGGTAACAGTATGGAAAACACATTGCTGCTCTGCTTGCCTACTTACCACTTCTTTGCAGTATGATGTAATATGTGAGTCAATTCATGGAGCTCCAATGAGAAATCCGTCAAGTCCTGTTCGCCAATAGTTTCATGAGAAAGTTTGAGCAGCGCTGGAATCATTTACAAAAAAATGAAATTATACTCGTTTGGATATGTGGAAGACACGTTTGTCAAGAACTAAATGCTTCCCTAAATCACATCAACTCCATCAATGAATGAA